ACACCTTGTGTAGGGTGGATTTCCATCTCTGCTTTTGTTTAAAACAAAAAACCTAAAACTAAAATAAGCTTTCACTGACCTTCTGTTTTGTTTTTTTCTTTTGAGAGAGGCAAGGAAGAGTGAGACAGGGTCTTGTGTGGCTTTGTCTAGCCTTGACCTCCAGGTATAGCGGGATGGCCCTGAACTCTACCTCCCAAGTGCTGGGGTTTCAGGGTTGTGCCACCATGCCTAGCTCTGGTTTCTAAATCAAGTCCCCAATTCCTCGGACAAATTTCTGTATAAGTTCATGGACAGAAAAGCAGGCACACAAACTGCCAGACTTGTTCAGATGTGCTAGCTCTTCTATCATGGTGCTGTGGAAAGTGTACAGAACAGAAATTTCATATGGATTTTGTTTTGTTTTGTTTTGTTTTGAGATAGGGTCTCACTACATAGTCTGGCTATCCTGGAACTCACTATATGCAGAAACCAGGCTAGTCTTGAATTTACAGCGATCTGCCTGCCTCTGCTTCCTGAGTGCTGGGATTATTTAAAACTAAACTTTTCACTTGTTAAGAAAGGGTCATACTGTGTGGTTTAGGGTGGCCTAAAGTTTGTGGCGATAATCTTGCCTCAGTTCAAATCTGCTCACTTTTTACAGGTGTAGGGCTGGAGGCAGAACTCAGTTCTTAGTCTGGGTAGGTCCTGGGTTCAATCCCCAGCACCAAGGGGTGTATGTGGAAATATTTAAGCTTATGAAAAATAAAATGTATAAAATATGTAGTTCAGTGGCAGGGTACCTGCTCAGCATTTGAGAGGCCTTCTGCCTCCGGCACCACAAGAAAGAGAAAAGAAGAAAAAGAGAAAGGACGGAAGAAAGAAAAGAATACCAATAAGGCCATAAAAACTCGGTAAAGGGAAGGAAGTCTGAAGTCTTGTGACGCAGCCACAGATAAATACTTGCGGAGCAGAACCCAAATGGTGACAGACAGAGGAAACACAAGAATGCGCTGTCAATCTGTCAAGAGGAGGGAACCTGGGTTGAGGAATGGCTCCCATCAGGTCCTCCTGCTGCCACCACCCAAGTTTGAGATACAGACAGATGCCACCAAGTCCAGGTTAATCTTTTCCCACAGTGTCTCCTCAGATGGAACACATGCAATTAAGGAAGCAAAGCACGCATTCCCCCTTCCTTCGTTCCTCCCACTGGACCCCCACAGAGAGGCTCTGTGGGCCTGGATGCCTGAAGCCTGGCTGCAGCTGCAGAGCCTTTTCCAGGGATGCCTTGCACAGAAAGGTGCTCACCTTCCTTCATCTGCCTGCTCTCCGTTCCCTTCCCTCTCCTTCCTTCTGTCTACCTCTGGCCTTTGGTGGTTCTCGTACAGCTGGGCTAAAAGAGCACAGGTGTCTAAACACAGCCAGGATGACACTTCTCGCCGAGGCTCAGCTATCTGCTGAAGCAGCTGTTACCGTGAGGGAAAGGAGGCTTGTTACATTGGGTGTGGGTGTGGGTGTGCATGCCTTTAATCCTAGCGCTTGAGAGGGTGCAGGCTGGAGAATCAGGATTTCAAAGTCATCTCTAGCAATATAGTCAGTTTGAGGCTAGCCTGAGATACATGAGACCTTGCCTCAAAAAAGACTCTTCCCATTAAGTATGTAACTGAAAAATTAAAAATCACTCAGCCGTTTCCTAACTTTCATTGAAGATTAAAAAAAATTTTGACTCAAATTTGGCATGAATACAATCTAGAAATATCAGTCTTTAAAAAAAAGATCTACCAAAGAGGTGTGTGTGTGTGTGTGTGTGTATTCTCTCTCTCTCTCTCTCTCTCTCTCTCTCTCTCTCTCTCTTTCTCTCTCTCTCTCTCTCTCTCTCTCTGTATCTCAGCTGATAGAGTGCTTGCTTTACATGTACAAAATCCTGAGTTCAATTTTCACAACTCCAGCACTGCATAAACTCAGGTAGTGGTGTAGGCCTATAATTCCAGTATTCAGGAGGCAGAGGCAAGAGGATCAAGAGTTCAAGGACATCTGTAGCTACCTATGGAATTTGAGGCCCCTGGCTATATGAGACCATGTCTCAAAGAAAACAAAACAAACAAAAACCAAAAACCAAAAACCGAAAGCGAGAAAGATGGCCATGAAGTCCATTGTGTTAATGTCTGAATAATATGAGATTCTGTAAGTAGGCTTTTAATTTGTTGTTTTTTTCCTAGACTGGCTACCTCACTATGTAGTCTGAGCTGGAACTCAGCTTGTTTTCTTAGTCTCCTGAGTTTGGGATTTCAGGCATGTGTCCCCTACTTGACTCCATGATGTGTTTTTCCTATGTTGCTGGGCATCAGGCCTGTGGCTCTGGGGAGTAAGCCTCATGTTCTACTAGTGAGCCCTTCGATATTCTACGTTTGGAACCATGTTACTGAGCATCATGGATTTGGGTGTCCATCCGGAAAGGTTGTTCATGGTTTCTCTTTCCCTGGCCTGTCTTTAGAGAGTGGACAGTCTGTACTGTTAGGATGTTACAATGTTCATAGTTTATACAATGAATTTGTTTATTGTTCAAGCCATGACAGAGAGGAGAAAGGAAAGAAGGAAAATGAAAAAAAAATTCTGATTGAGGAGAGGAAGGGGGTGGAATGAGATTAAGAGAGGAGGCGAAGGGAACAAAAATTAACCTTATCAGAGAAACCGTGAACAAGAGAACAGTGCAGTATTCTCCACTTGGGAATGCTGTGGCTATTGAGATACAAGTCTGGCCCTCGAACAACAGGGTGTTATTGCTGCTGATACGGTAATCTTCGGAGGTGCGGGAGGAGAAGTGGGTGGGTCATGTGACATTCATGAAATGCTTGAGGTAAAATCACTGCCGAAGTATTAGTCACATTTTGTTTGGTGTGCGGTTCCCCGCCCAATTTACTTGACAGAGAAGTATTCCTCTGTGTTTGCTGTTTCCTAAAAGTGTAGTTTATTTTCAACAAAGCTTTAAAATATTCCATCTCAAAAGTTTGTTGCTGTTCTAAAGACGCTTGGCAACATGCCTTGCCCCGTTTTGGCCCACTCGAACAAACATGCCTACATTTACATACATACATACCTACTTAACTCCGCCTTGACTAGATGGTCTGGACCACGTTCAGAGTGAGCAACTAATTTGGCCTCTAGCTTTCAGAAAGAACAAAAAGGATAGGAGGAAAGAGAGGAAGCAAGAGATCGGGAAGAAAGGGAGGAAGAGGGAGGGAGGGAGAAAGGGAGGCTGACAAGAACAGAGAATATTATCACCTCTGCGCTGTGATCCCAACACTCAGGAAGCTAAGGCAAGTTTGTCACAAATTTGAGGTCAGCCTGTGCTACATAATGAATTTAAGGCCCATTTGAGAGTTAATACATATTGAAATTCTGTGCCAAAAGCCAGGTATAGAAAATAGTATATACCTATAATCCCAGCACATGGTTGGCCACAGAGATCAGGCCAGTATTGTCTAAGTAGCTAGTTCCAGGCCAGTCAAGGCTACAAACAAGGGAGTGGCTCAAAAAACAAAATAGGAGCTGGAGAAATGGCTCCGTGCATCCCAGCACCCATATAAAAGCCAGGCACAGCAGGGTGCGTCTGTTACCCCAGTGCTGGTGTGTTAGGGTTTCTATTGCTGTGCGGAAACACCATGACCAAAGCAACATGGCGGGGGGATTGTTTCACTCACAGTTCCATCTGACAGCTCATCATCACAGACAGTGAGGACAGGATGTACACAGGGTAGGAACCTGGAGACAGAGCTGATTCAGAGGCCGTGGAGGGGTTCTGCTTATTGACTTGTTCCTCATGGATTGCTCAGCTTGGCTTTTTGTTTGTTTGTTTTTCCTTTCAGAAACTCAGTTTGTAGACCAGGCTGGCCTTGAACTCACAGAGATCCGGTTGCTTCTGCCTGTCTAGTACTGAAATTAAAGGCATGCACCATCATGCCCAGCTTGGCCTGATTTCTTATAGAACTCAGAACCACCAATCTAGGGTTGGCACTGTCCACAGTAGGTTGGACTCTCCCCTGTTGATCACTAATAAGGAGAATGCCTTATAGCTGATCTCATAGAGGCTTTTTTTCAATTGCGGCTCCCTTTTCCCTGGTGACTCTAACTTATGTCAAGTTGACATAAAACTAGCCAGTATAGGTGGTTAGGCAGGGAATGGAAGAATCCAGAGGCCCACTGGGCCACCAGCCTAATCAAAATGGCATGTTCCTGCTACAGTGAGAGATCCTGTCTCAAAAATAGAGATCATTTGAAGAAGACAACTGACATTGACCTCTGACCTCCACAGGTATATATCCCCCAGCAATAAATAAATATACTATGTGTTTTTCAAAACCCTAAAAAATAAAGCCCAGAAGATTTAAAACAATCTGCTGACCTAAAGGGAAACTGAGAGCCAACCACCAGCATAGAAACAAGGAAGAGAAAATGAAGCTCAAAGAACTCAAACCTCCCCCACCCAAGCCTTCTTTCACCTCTTCCTCTTCAGCATTGCGCTACAGCTTTGCCTCAGATTGAAGGCCTTGCTGTGTAGCCCTCTCTGCCTTAAACTGGTTCATGGCAATTGCTCTCGAGCCAGCCTCCTCAGTGAGCCACTATTCCCGACTTATGACCTCTATTTTAAATATGACCTGCTGTGGAATAATCCTCGTGTACACTGTAAAGATTTGTCACTCGAATTGGTTTAATAAAACACTCATTGGCCAGTAGCCAGGCAGGAAGTATAGGTGAGGCGACCAGACTAAGGGTGCTGGGAAGGAGAAGGGTGGAGTCAAGAGTTGCCAGCCAGATTCAGAGGGAGTAGGGGGTAAACATGCTATGCTAATAAAGGTATCCCTGTGATGCGGGAGAATTGTCTGTATTCTGTCAATCATATTTTAATAAAACACTGATTGGCCAGGCAGGCAGAATAGGCGGGAAAGCCAGACAGGAAGTAGAGGTGGAGCAAAGAGACTGGGAGTATTCTGGGAAGCAGGAAGCTCCCTCCGCATTCCTGCCTACATCACTGAAGAAGCAACATGTAAGCTGCCCCTGCTGAGAAAGGTACTGAGCCGTATGGCTAATGTAGATAAGGATAATGGGGTAATATATGTTATAAGAACTAATAAGAAGCCTGACCTAATGGACCAATCAGTTTATAACCTAATGTAGACTCTGTGTTATTTTCTTTGGGAATTGCCGGTTGTGGGGTACTGGGCGGGACAGAAACCTCACCAAGCCAGCCCTCATGTTACACCCTGCATGACAGAGTGTAAATAAGGAATAGGGATTGATTTAAAATGTAAGAGTAGGGGGCAGAGGTGTAGCTCAATTGATAGAGTGCTTGCCTAGCATGCTGGAGTTCAAGCCCCCTCTACTTAAAAGCCAAGTGTAATGCACACGTGTATCTCCTCCCCCCAAAATAAAAAAAAGGATTTAAAATGTAAGAGTTAGTGAGTAACAAGCCTGAGCTATTGGCAGGGCATCTATAAGTACTATTAAGTCTCTGAGTGCTTATTCAGGAACTGGCAGGTGGGTGGGAGAGAAACGTCCGATTACGACTACCCCCTTTCTATTTGAAATACTGCAGTTTTTTATTAGCCATTATCCCCCACCCAGTAGAAAAAAAAAATAAAACGTGCCCTTATTTGAAGAAATGATAGAACACTCATTTAGGTAACAAACAACTGTTCAAAACTTTCTTCTCTGTAAAAGAAGGCTTGCCGCTGGCCGCCGCCGCTGTTACTCATCTGCACTACAATAGGAGTGTGTTTCCCTGCCTTATCTCCCTGCCTTAATACAGGCTTACGTGAGAAAGGATGAACACGCGGTTTGGAAGAGGGGGTAGATCTGAGAGTTCCAATGGAGTCAGAGTGGTTTGCAGTCAGTGAGCAGAAACTAGATACCTGCTGGGATGACGATGGGGATAGTGGACTGCTGAAATAGGAACAAGTGATCAGGTACCTGCTTACACAATTCTCTGAGGGCCTGACACAGTGTGGGGGAAGGGCACGCTCCATCTCATGGACTCACACCTGAAGCTCTGTAAGCCTAGTGCAGCCTCGTTCGCAGTTCACAGCTGTTTCAGAATGCAGCTGCTGTCCGCCACACTGCTGCTGAGGATAACCGAGTGTATGGGGTATCCGACAAGGGACAGCCAGATCTTATACCTTTAAAAAATATTTATTTTATGTGTAGGGGCATTTATTCCGCATGTTTGGATGTGTATCACGCGCATGCCCAGTACTCATGGAGGACAGAAGAGGGCATTAGATCCCCTGGAACCCGGGTCACCATGTTGGTGCTGGGAGCTGAACCTGGGTCCTCCGCAAGAACAGCAAGTGCTCTTAACCTCTGAGCCATTTCTCCAGCTCTGGATCTCATAATTTAAAAAGTGAAGGGATGGACTCCTGGCAATTCAGAACGAAGTGTGCTTCCTTCCTGGAAGATTCGGAAGAGCGACAGGGAAGCCACTTCTTACTTTAGAAGCGGCACACCTCCCCCAGTTAGAATGTCCATCATCAAGAAAACAATGACAGTACATGCTGTCCAGGGTGTGCTGGTGGAAGACCACCATTCGCTGTGGTGGGAGTTTAAACGTGGGCAACCACTGTGGAAATCAGTACGGAAGTTCCTGAAAAACTGAAGAAGGAGCTACAATATATGGCCCATCTGTACTATTTTGCTTATATGTTGGGACTCTGTCACCGTACCAAGAGGTACTCATGCAGCCATGTTTATAGATATACTGCTTACAACAGCCAAGAAAGTGGGGAATCCTAGAGTCCTGCCTGCAGACAGGTGGGTAAGAAAACGGGCTATATATGCACAGCGGAATTTTATGTAACCATGAGTTTAAATGAAACCATGGCATCTGCCGGAAACTGGATGCAAGTGGAAATGACGTTAGCTGAATGAGCCGAACAAATAGTGTTGTGGAATATTATTTTAACTGAGCAAAGATGTGCTACCTTTGTTTATGCAGTGAATATGACTTAGCTATGTGAAGATGTGTTATATTTGTTTCTGCTGCCTTTGTTAATGATATAAAGATGGGTTTCACTTGTTTGCGTCGCATTTGTTTAATTGTGTAAAGATGTGGTTCATCTGTTTCACCTTGCCTGCACAAGGCCCCTGATTGGTCTAATAATAAGCTGACTGGCCAGTAGCTAGGTAGTAGAGGGGTAGGCAGGGCTGGTGGGCAAAGAGAATAAGCAGGAGGAGAAATCTAGGCTCAAGAGAGAAGGTGGAGAGAATAAGGGAGAGGGGAGGGACACGCCCATGGCCAGGAAACAGGCTGCCACCAGCCAGCCAGACACAAGAAGTGGTGAAAGTAAGATATACAGAAGGAGAGAAAGGCAAAAGGTCCAGAGGCAAAACATAGGTGAAGAGCAACAGGTTCAGTTATAAGAGCTAGTGGAACAAGCACAAGAGAAGGTTGAGCATTCGTAACTAGTAGGTCTCCGTGCCGTGATTTGGGAGCTGGTTTGTGGTTCAAAAGAACTCTGGTACAAAATACCACTTTTTTTCCTCGTATGTAGAAAGCAAATTTGTGTGTGTGTGTGTGTGTGCGTGCATGCGTGTGTGTGAGCATGTTTATAATTGAGTACATCACAAAACTGGAAAGCAGAGTGCTGGAGAACTGGCTCCGAGGTTAAGATCACCAGTGGCTCTTCCATAGGACCCAGGTTCAATTCCCACTACCCTTGTGGTGGCTCACAACTGTGGTGCGTCCAGTTCCAGGGGATCCAATGCCACCTTCTGGCTTTTTCTGGCCTCTGTAGGCACTGTGCATATGTGGTGGACAGACACAATTGCAGGCAAATGCCCATACACATGAAAATAAAATTAAAAATGTAAGATTTATTAAAAAGAAACAACTAGAAAGGGGATCATGAAAGGTGAGGAAAAGATCTTTAGTGAGGGAGACATGAGAGGACACCTGGATATGTGGGACAGGAAGCACAGGAAGAGACGGGGAACAAGGGAACAGCCCGAGGGGAGGAGCCAGATGGAGGAGCCAGTGAGGGAATGGTGGGAAAGTACTCATGTGTGTTGATGGTGAAGATGCTAACCTAAATTAGTTCTGATCTTTAATCTTTACTTGTGTTTGTGTGCTCGTCATGTGCTTGCAGAGGGCAGAAGAAGGTGCTAGATCATCTGAGCAACTCAAAATTGTCTGGCACGAGTTCAGGGAACTGAATTCATGGGGGAGAGCAGTATTTGTTCTTAACTGATGAGCCACATCTTCATATCCCCCCATAGGGCTTCTTTAAGGAGGTAGCCCCAACTCTTCCAACCTTTGCCTTAATTAATCTTTCTCCCCCTCCCCCGCCCTTTCTTTTCTTGAGACAGGGTTTCATGTAGCCCCAGGCTATCCTGGAATTCATTATGTAGCTGAAGATGAGCTTGAACTTCTGATTCTCCTGCCTCGGCGTCCTGTGTGATGGGATACCAGGTGTGTGCCACCATGCCTGCTGTGTGCTGTGCCAGGGACACTGACCCAGGCCTTCGTGAATGCTCGGCAAACACTTTACTAATTGGGCAGTGCCGCTGCTCAGCTCCTCCATTTTTGAGGGGAAAAATGTAAATTAAAACGTACTACTGGGGCTGGAGAGATGGCTCAGTGGTTAAGGGCATCGCTTGCTCTTCCAAAGGTCCTGAGTTCAATTCCCGGCAACCACATGGTGGCTCACAGCCATCTGTAATGAGATCTGGTGCCCTCTTCTGACCTGAAGACATACACGCAGACAGAATATTGTATACATAATAAATAAATAAATAAATAAACGAATTTATAAAAAACAAAAAACAAAAAAACGTACTACTGGAGTCTGGTATGGTAGCTCACACCTGTACTTCCAGCGCTTGGAAGTCTGAGGCAGGAGGATCACCAGGAGTTTGAAGTTAGTTGATGCTATGGTCTGAGACAGTGTCTCACAAAAACAAACAAGCAAACAAAAACGATGAAAGTTGGCTGTGGTGGTGTACACCTTCAATCCTAACACTCAGGTGGCAGAGGCAGGCAGATCTCTGTGAGTACCAGCCCAGCTTGGTTCAAATAGTACATTCTGACCTACCAGAGACTCCCAGTGAGACCCGAGATTAACAGGGAGACCGTCTCAAACAAAACCAATTTTCTTTCACTGTCTGGAGGAATAGTTCAGTGGTTAAGAATGCTTCCTGCTACTCCAGATAACTGGAGGTCAGCTCCCAACACCCAGGTCAAGGGGCTCACAATCACCTGTGACTCTAGAGCCAGGAGTCCTGATGCCCTCTGCTGACTTCTGAAGGCACTTGCACACGTAACATACATTCATAAAAAACATACACCTGAATTTAAATAAAAAAATCTTTAAAAATTTTACTACTGGGATCCTGTAGACACAGTTATGACCATAAATATGATTTCACAGGACCACAGGCAGCGTTTAGAAGGATTTGAGTTCCAACAATATGTCCCGACTCAGATTTTAGCAGCGTTTCATAACAGTGCAAATATTTGGGTTTTTCTCTCAGAGACCATGCATTGTTCACACGTCTGTACTTACATGTTTTGTTTTTCTCTTGTGGGCACAAACCAAGGGCTTAAATTTACCGAGCATGTGATTTGCCCCGGGTTAAATCCCCAGCCACAGATTTCTTTTTTAGGCATATTTTTCATTTCTTTAACTTAAAAGAAAGGTTTCTCTTGTCTATATTAAATTTCCATGCTAGGGATGGGTAGGGGGGCATGGACCTGTAAGCCCAGCACTCAGGAGCCCAAGCAGGAAGACTGCAACCATTTCAAGTCTATAATGGCAAAACAAATCACCAGATATGTTACTACACCTGCACCGGTCAGAAGGGTGAGCTTAAGGTTAGCCTTGGCCAGCCTGGACTTCATGAGACCCTATTTGAAAAATATTTCCATGCAGTATATATCTTCAAATAGCATCTATTCTTCAAATTCTTCTGATTTATAGGAATATTCCCAAATACTTGTGTAAATTTGAAGGTATTTACTAGCTATCTTCTCTGGTTGATTCAACGATACCTGAACAGCATGGCTTCCAAGTATTTTCCAAAATTGTTGTGTTAGTATTGTCTCTTTGGAATTGTATTGCTACCTGGGACCTCACTTTTCTAATACACAACTTTTATTTATTTGTTTGCTTGAGCAAGTTCTCACTGTGCAGTCTAGACTGACCTAAAACTCCCGAATTTGATTGTAAGTGTGAGCCATCCCCTCTGGCCTAGCACATAATTTCTGTCAACACGAATAGTCTTCTGTTAGAGGGCATCGTGTTTTAGCTGGCGCCATCTCTAAGTGTCAGTATGACTTGTTCAGGTGTCGGGTTTGCTTCTCTCGTTAAGAAAGTCATCTAAATCACTAATGATTACTTTTGCTTGCTATGTGAAACAGCCCTTTACAAACTATGCATTCCAAGATTATCTCAAACCGGTTTCAGATGGCACCCTTTCATGCTTATTTTGTAATCCAGCGCATGTTAAATTCTCTCCTCACTGTGGACGCTTTTCCTGACTCAGTCTTCCCTGTCCAAGGTGACTGGCATTGCTTTGCAAAGGTCTTTCTAGTGGGAAGGCCTTAGTGCTGAAGATATAACACACTTTGGTTGCAGGAGATGGAGAAATCAATCTGGATCTGACCTGAAAACCTGCTCCCCACGGACCGGTTTATTACAGTACTGTGCAGGCCACTCTTTTGCAGTGGGCAGCGCTCAGCGGCTATGGCACTCATGAGCTCAAACCAGCTGTGCTTACAGCCCCAAGCCTCGCATGAGATCAAGTCAGTCAACATTCCAGCATGGAGGGGAGAGGAGTTCATTCTGCTCTCCCATAGCTGAGGAACTGCTGGCAATGGATGGGTGCAGTCGATGGGGGGCCTGGTGGTCACATTTCTGGAGGAGTGTGTGTATTGTTAGGTCACCCATGCGCCAGTGGATGGCTCCACAATCGTATGCACACAGGCAGCACTAGCTGGATTCAGTGGGCTCTAAAAAGAACAGGACATGAAGATAGGAGGAGAAAGTATGAGGGGAACCCAGGGGGAGTGGTAAGGAGGGTTTAGCTTTGGAGCCGGTCCTGGAACTTGCTCTCGTAGACCAGGCTGGCCTCGAACTCACTCTGCTGCATCTCTTTGTGGGATGGATGAGTCACAGTTTTGCTAGTCTGATTTGCTTTTGTAGTGCTGGGAACTAAGAAGAGCCTTGCACATGCTAGGCAAGCCTTTCCAACAGAGCTACATCCTCCGCCCTTTTTGCTTCTGTTCTAATGTGAGTGGGATGAATTATTTCTCTCTCTCTCTCTCTCTCTCTCTCTCTCTCTCTCTCTCTCTCTCTCTCTCTCTCTCTTTGAGTCTGTGTAGCCCTGGCTGTCCTGGAACTCTCTGTAGACCAGGCTGGCCTTGAGCTCACAGAGATCCGCTTGCCTCTGCCTCCTATGTTCTGTGATTAAAGGCATGCGCCACCATGGCCCCCCAGTCTCTGTTTTACACCCGGTCCCATAGTTGGTGTGACCTGCATCATCACTGCCATCATCATTTTGTTATTAGTGCGTGTGTGCACATGATGCCACAATGTGCATGAGGAGGTTGGAGAACAGCAACATTGTGGGGCTGAACCTCTTCCATCTTAATGTGGGTTCTGGGGGTCACACTCAGGTTGTCAGGTTTCTGTAGCAAGTGTTTTACTGGCTGAGCCACCTTTCTGCCTGGCCTGGTATTTTCCTAGAGAAGAACTTTCTGCTAGAACTTTTTGGACAGCGACCACTGTGCTCTACCTTGTGGATAGCATGTACTTTCTATAGCCACTAAGCTTTCCTCCTTATTGCTCTTTAGTTGTTCGCATAATCCCCACGTTTAGTAGTAGTATCAGAACTGAGGGTTGATATAATTAGTTCTGTTATAGAACTCATTTCATAATGCAACATGGGATTTTTTTTTCTTTTTGGAACAGAGTTTCATGTAAGTCCCAGCTGGCCTTGAACCTGTTATGTATCTGAGGATGACTTCAGACTCCTGATTCTTTGTTTCTGCCTCCTAAGTATTGAGACAGTAA